TTAAATACGTGTACGTAAATAGAAAAGAAAATATAGTTAAATATCGAAACTGAAAAACGGAATGTTGACATTTTAATTTTAGAAACTGCATATTTTGTGCTGATTGTATGGCAAGCTTCGCATTTGAAACTATAATATGAGACAAATTTATAGACTTGATTTGCAATTTTTAAACTAAGGTAGGTTTGTACCAATCTTCATAAAAGCGTCGGACATCTCCGACCCTTTTCTGAACATTTTATATTATGTATGTCCTATTTCCCGAGGGATTATTGAGTTATGGTAGCAATGGGGCTAGTGTTCTGTAAGATATAAATTTTCATAAATAATATTAAAAAATTTTCGGGAAAAAAAAAGTGGGTTTGTAGAAATTTTTAACCCGGAGTATTTCAATAAGCATTTTTTGGGAAATTGGGGTTATCAAAAAAAATTTAGTCAACGAAAACATGCCAAAAAGGTCTGATCATCTGAAAGGGTTTTTTTTTTTTTTTCAATTTAACAAATATTAATAGGGTCCCAAAATTTTCGTTCCCAATATTTTTCTACAAAAAACAATCACTTTTATTCATGCCCATTGCGGGCTGTGATATGACAAAAAAAACTAAAAATTTGCCCAAATAAATAAATTTTAAATTTTCCCTGTTCACTAGTTTTTATTTTTGGGTTTCCCTTTAAATCGGGGTTTTTTTTGGGTATACATACATATATTATCATTGTAAAATTTAACTCAGGTTAGTTGTTTCATAGAATTAAGGTGCGTGGCAATCTTAACGAAAATCAAAATTGCAATGTTATAATCCTAAAACAAGTAGATCATTTTACCCTCTCTCCTCCATTTGACTCTTTATTATTCCTATATATTGTTCTGATTCGATATGTTTCAACAAAACTCATAGCTAGAAATTCATAGCGCATGATTTAATTTATTATCCATACAGATAATTTTTTTAAAAAGTATTGAGATTGTTTTATACGTCTAATGAAATCTATCCAATATGCTGAAAACATTATTTTATCAATCTCGAGCAATTAGCAAAGTAAATGGTAAACTATAAGTACATTGGCATTTCAACTGACAAATTAGTTTTATACTTGTAATTGATTGCATTAATTGTTACCTGATAAACATCATCATTACAACTAATTGCTGAATTGTGAAGTAATCAAAGCTTTCAAACAACTATATATCATAGATAACGTTTCAAATTACGTTGATTGCCAAGAATTGATCACAAACATTCGATCATTTCACAATTATTATTGGACACTTATAACGATGAATACTCAATCTATACGTTCCAAATTAAAATAAATAAAACAAATCAGAGTGAAATACATAAGGGGCTAAAATAGCGTATATCTGGAATAAATGTATGGACCATGATAGCTTTTATTTTTGTTTCTTGCTTGCATTAACATGCATTTAGTAATTGTATATCATATTAGAACTGAAAATGGAGACGGGGTATTGTCCTGAATATAATAAATATGTATTAATCAATCAAGTATCTATCGAAATGATGTTGATATCTTTTTTTTACAATTTTAACAGCATTGAGCCTTTGTGTCAATGAGACATTTTCAAAATGATGTTTACTTTTAAATGATATTATGTCACCTTCAATTAAGAAGAACCCTTATATATGTCAACAGTTTGGCTGTGTGCTGTTTTGCTAAAATTCAATCTGGTGATCTAAGCAGAACTGCAATAAGGTTGATATGTTCTTAATCGGCTGCATCATGTCAAATATTAAAACAAGTTTATTTTAACAAAATGTTTGAAAAGTTCATTTTACATCAATTTTATTTTTTTTCTTCATGTTAATAGCTTCACTATGGAATAAAACCACGCATGCATCGTCGAATAATTGGAAAATAGAATCCTATTCTGTATCAGCTAGTTTATAGAACCATGTGCCTTTATATATTAGTCAGGTTTTTCATAACCGAAAACATTATAAAAGAGCATCTTTATTCTTCGCCATCAACAAATAGACCTTACAAATACACACTGTACAATTGAAAGAGAAGACAACAGTTAAATGTGACGACTGCAGTACTACTTTATACATGTAAATTATCGGGTCTGTATAATGAGGCGGTGATAATGTGCCTGGTTTATATATCTTAGGACCATATTTGGGTAAAATCAAGGCCTGAATCTAAAGGGTCCTGTAAAACAAATCAATTTCGTAGAAGATACTTTCATTGCAACATTATGACATTGACAGGTTTATCCTTTGCAAGTTATCCATACTGAATCGGTTCATCATTGCAACTTATTTTGAGGCCATTTTAAATCAATCGACTTGCATGTGTTTTGGGGTAAGAAACTAATAGAAAGGTGAATTATCGTTCACTTACATTATCGCAAACGAAATGTCGATAGTTTGACTCAGGTGCCGTTCGTGTCAGAGATAATACATGATTTGGGCACCTGAGGTCTTCCCCTATCAGTTAAGTTCGAAAGTGGCCTAATGACCTTTTACAGTGTCTGTATGGCATAAAATCAAATAAAACAAACAAAAATCCGGGATTTACGTATAATTACATACAATTTATTTATCTATTTATTTTAAATACATAATCATTTACATGAAGATTTTCAGTTACGTTAATATCAAAATGAAATGCAAGAAAGACAAAAATATCGTCTGAAAATGTTATTGATTGCATAATCTTCTTTATATCTGTACATTTAAATAGATAGCTCTAGAAAAAAGAATTGTTTGACCAAGATAATTGAAATGATAAGTTTTATATTAATGAATTTATAATTAGTGCATTTGATGCTATCTGCAACAACATTTTTTCTTATCCAAATAAGATAATTCACGATATGTCAATGATGAATAAGTTGATTAATCAAAATAGTAGGGTTTCTGTGTGGCTTCAAAGCCAGATAAACTCTTTAAACTAAAAAAAGCAAAGATTATAGTAATTAGATACTTGTACACTTATTGACTTCAATTGTGACAGATCGCTCCAATTCGTTTGATACCTAATTAAAACAATTAAAAATGGCCATGCTAATAATTGGGAAAACATTTGGATTAGCATTTTATAAAGAAACAATATTCTAATAAAGCAATAACAACAGCACGGGTTTTTATATTGGCCCCACGGTGTCCCTTTAAAAAGCAGTACGTTTTATGTGGGCAAAGGAAAGCAACTGTTTGTTAATTTAATAAATGGTTATTATCATATTTTTTATACCGCTAAAACCGGTGCTTGGGGTTAATCGCATTGTACACTTATGATTGTTGAAAATAAAATAATTTACTTTCATTCTGAAATGAAAATAGTACGCAAAAGTCGTATTTGTTTTTCTTTTCCTTTTTACTTTGCTTATACTATTATGTTATTATTATTATTATTATTATAATTATTATTATTATTATTATTATTATTATTATTATATTATCATTATTATTATTATTATTATTATTACATGTATTATGCACTTAAAGATTTTTTTTAATTTACGCCATCTTTAATTCTCATAATTCCTTTTTCAACGGATAAAATTACACCTCCACTTCAGTTCGAATAATTTAATCGTTTTACATTTGTTTTTTTTAAAGAATAAACTTATCTGCTTTAAGACAATATTATATAAGAATTAACATGTGTTAATGTGTACTTAATTGATTTTATCTGTAGCATACTATTTTGTAAATGTAAATGATAACAAAATTTTATAAACTCAGTGAAGACAAGAGTAACCAGCTGTAAAACATAAATACGTATGTACAGGAAACATTATCATACACAGCAGTATGATACATCGAACATTTTAGTACATTTAAAGTCGCCTTCGGCTTTTATTTTCTGCTGAAAACCAAATTCTGTTTTGTTTAAAGCTAAGTATTTCGGTAAGTGCCATCATATCACTGTCTACTTCAATAGCAATCTATAACGCGTCAGTGACATTCGTTTCTAGCAATACAAGATCATAAACGAATCGTCAGCTTTACTTTAATAAAACTTGAGAGTGGTAGATTGGATGTATCGAGGGGTTTCGTTATTGGTTATGTATTTTATCGACGGCAAATCTCATTTTCCACCTTTGTTCTTTTGATTTGACAATTTTATGGAATATTTTTTTCTAAAAATAACATATTTAACCTAAAGAAAAGCTGAGGGCAGATTCACCGTACTTTTTTATGCATTGAATATAATTAAATGCAAACGTCCATGAAGTCTAATGACAACTCTTTAAAACTATATTCACATTATTCAAAATATCACTCTTTATAAGCTTTATCCCTTTCAAAACTTTTGAATGATTTACTATGATATCTTAACCCACAATTGCCGGCATTGAACTAAACAAGAATCCATATTGAAAATATTTTACCTATAAAGTGCTATCAGGCATTTACCTTTAAAGCGGTATCGCGGCATAGCAAATTTGTGATTAAAATACTTCACACTTTTGTAGTTTGTTCTTTTCCAAGTGAAAAACTCCCCCTGTTAGTAAATTGGGTTTAAAAACCCAAAGTAAAAATGTTTCCAAATGAAATAACAGTAAAGTAAGCTTCGAATTTAAAAAATTAACAAAAATTTTTCAAACTTTGGGCATTTCATTCATGTTATTAGAATAATAATCCTGATATTGTATTGCTCTAAATTTATAGTGCAAAACTTAAAAAAAAATAGAAATGTATCTTAACTTAAGGCCACATTTTAATATTTCATTGATTTTGTCTTATACCCTAAATATGTTAATTTTCATTTCTCGCCTGAGTTTTGGTAAATTCAGACATCCTTTATTGTCTACGGTCACGTTTACACAAATACAAGGTGAACTTGCATAAATGTATAAACATATCAGAAAAACCACTACATCATGCGATTATTACAAAATCAAATCAATCATCCAGTTAAAGACTAAACTTAGATTTAATTATATTGTATATTGTGATATAGATATTCTTTTGAATAAATTTGCACAATAATACATTGTAATATAAACGAACTCTTCCGCCTTCGGTACATAAAAACCTGCTTACCGTGTTAAACGCAGATTATCAAAATGGGTGCAGAAGTAAATATTTGGATGTCTCGTTCCTTAATCTTGTGTGTGTTGATGATTTTTACGGTTGGACCAAGATCATTATGCAATGGTAAGTTCATAATAATTTCAAATAATTACAAGATTGTTTTATCACTTTTAATCATAAATAGTTTATTTTATATTACTGCTTCTTATTGATACTAACATCATATGCGATTCCAATTCAAATTATTGAATTCTTTTATCAAATAGTTGATTGAATTATTTTGGTTTTAAAATGTTTTAAACAATTTCTATAAATCGAGATGTATTACATTTTTGTATTTTTGTAAATGTATAAGGCACAGCATTTGAACTGTTTTGACGTTGTATCGTATAAGTAGCTATGAATTCAGTTAAGTAAGTTCTTTATCTGGAAAACAATTGCAAAATAAATTCTTGACTTTATCAAATGAGTGTGTACAGAAATTGTTTCATACTCATTCGAACATAATGAAAGCGATTAAAATTTGAATTTAACTGTAAGCATTTATTAAAACCATTATTAGCTTTTGCTAAGATGTACAACATGTAATTTAAATCCTCGTTATCCGAAATTTATTGAATTTTATTATTAAAAAATCTTTTTATAATAAGAAAAATAAGAATGATAAAATTAAATAGCCTTTTATTTTTCAGTAGTGTTTAAAAACTTATTTAATTTATTCATATGAGTCAAAGTTAAAATTCAGTTACTTGTTACTGAAAATGCTGTCGTTATCAGTCTATTTATTATATACTTTTACATGAAATATTGAGATTTATTGATGAAATAAAATGCATGATTTTATTTTCTGTATTTTCACCTGGGGAAAAAAATTTTTTTATGGGAGTGAAAACAAAATTTTCCGTATTTTTTAAAGGGATCTCGCCAGAAAAAAATTTGAGTAAAAAACAAAAATTTAAAAAAGGGTTTTATTTTTAAACTCTAAAGTCAAAAAAAGGGGGAAAAAAAGTATATGATAAACAAAAAATTTAAATCGTTTTATAAATAAAAGGGTAAATTCTCCCGTTAAAGGTATGAAAAATTTTCATATTCAACTTTTAAAAATTAATATTTAAAGTTTTTTTTTGGGTTTTTAAAAAAGGGAAACGTAAAAGAAAAAGTTTTTAAAATTGAATAATGATTACCATTTACGGTTTTAAAAGGGAATTTAAAAGTAAAAAAAATCTTAACCCGGGGGCCCCGTTCCCCGGGAATTTTACCCAAAAATCCGGTTTTCAAAAGGGGTTTCCCGGGTTTCCCCGAGGTTTTATACATTTTTGATAATTATGATGTGTTTGAACAATGTCTTTGTTCAATCATTTTATATTTACTTTTCGACCCTTTTGCAATAAAATTAATGTCCCAAGTAATTCAATTTTATATTTCAGAAAATCAGAAATTAAAACAGCACATTGTCTGATAGATATCTTTTTTAATTGGCTTTTGAAATATGTAATCAATGGAATTTCTTATTACTATTCAATATCCAGACAAAGATAACTTCAAGGTCAAAATTTCAAGCAAAACAGGAATCATTTAACAAATGTTTCCCATTTATTCTAGAAATTTTATATTAAAAACAACCGAAACAAATTTAAAACATGTTGAAAAATCATGCCTTAGTAGTAATAATACAGGAAAAGACAAAATTATGATAATAGACTTAAACACTTAAAATTGCTGTCCTTTTCTCAGAGGATTTTTTATGCATGTTTAGCATTAAAAAAAATTAAAAAAATCGGGGCCGTTTTTAAAAAAAATTCCCGAGGTTTTCCCGGTTTTTCCCCAAAAAATTTTTTTTCAATGAAATATAAGGGGAAATTTTCGGGCTTTTAAAAAATTTTCCGGTTTTCAGGGAAAGGGTTCCGGTATTTTAAAAGGGTCCGGGTTTTCAGAAAAAAAAACCCCCCATACTGTATAATAATCCCGAAATTGGGATAGCTTTTAACTTTGGGAAATTTAAAGATTTAAAAAAAAAAAAAAAATTGAAATTCAAAATTTTAAAAACCCGAAAGTAATTTTATTTTTCTAGTACATAAAAAACATTTTTTAACACACAAGAAATCTTTTTAAAATTCAACTTTTATGAAAAATTTTAGGAAAGGACAATACACTAAGTTTTAAAATTTTGGGAAACATTTTTTCAAATTTGGGTTCATAATTTTTGTTTTGAACCCCAATTTTTAAAAACAGAAGATAACAATATATAGTCTTATTACTCAGTCGTTTGGACATAAATGTAGGTCCTCTTATTTTTTTCGGGTTGGGGGGAGGTGTAGCTTTTGTTCCACATTGATAATATAATAGCACAATGGAGATTTTCCAATTCAAATGGTAAATGCGATACATTTTTTTGTCTTGTTTTGCTTTGTTGTTTTGTTGCATGAAAAAATGCTGACAATCTTTGCAAAATGACACAGATCTTTTGTTTTAATACAAACAATGATATGTGACATAATTTACTACGTCAAATTATAAGGAGATTAGGTAATGCTATCTGACAGATTTAAGTTAATGTTAGAGAAGATAGACAGATAACATTAAAACAATGTTATGTCTCTTTATATAAGATAAAATCAAAATGAACAATGAATAAACAATGACTATTCAATTGTGTATTTTGATCAAATATATAGGTCATATATCAGAGATCTTTAACAATTTAAAGTTTTTGTAATCCTATATCAAAGCTGAAGGTGTATGTGTTTGCTGTCTGACACAATAGAAATAAGAACATGATCCAGTCTATTTTGTATTAAGTTCATCTGTACGCATTTATCAATTCTCAATTCATATCGGCCGAAATAAATGCAAAGATCTACTTAAATACTCTCCGTTGTATTTCAAGTGTCAATTAATTGTATTTAGTTAGGTTTAACATTGTTTACTGTAAAATGTTGGGGAGTGCTTTATGATGCGTGTTTTGAATTGTCGAAACGTTGTCTTATAAAAAAAGATATATTATGAATGGAACGAATAGGAGATGAGCAATCTTTATTTAACAATAAAGAAATTCACCTTTCGTTATTCACTTACATTTTTATTATTGAATCTTTACAAATTTGCCCCACTAAAGAAATGTTGCTATTCTTAGCTTGTTAAATGTACATCAGGAATACATTGACAAGATATGTATAAATAATCGATGTAGTTTATCAAGATATCTAAGCAGATAAGTACTCAAAAATATATGTTCCGTCCATTATCAATATCTTACTTGTATAAACGTTTAAAATGCTAGTTGATTTATTATCTCAAGATATTGGATGTCTAATGCAGAAAATGTCTAATCTCCTTTTTGATTTTGTATTTCATGTCATTCTTTTTATGTAAATCTTCGTAGGCACTACGTGCAAAACGTGCAGTGAACGATCTGCCTTTATGAAAATTATCTTAAAATCTCAATTATTAAAATAAATTATCTTAATGGCAAAGTATTTTACCAAATTATTTACATGACATTTTTATCGCACACTGACATTTCAGTAGATAGCTTTACTAAAACAAAAACCCTATACCATCGAACAATGGTGAGAATAGACAATATAATTTTGTTAATCTGTTAGATAGCAAAGGCAACTGTATCAAAAGATAAATATACAAAGTCATTCAAAATGTAAAACTCAAAGCACAAACATTTTTTGAAAGACGAATTAAGCACGAGTTAGAGACATTTTATTGCTCCAAATTCAGTTGACCCGATAAAATATGTCCTTAAATTATTTAAAGATTTTGTTAATTTTAAAAGGTACCCTCTGTGAATTTAACATAATATTTTGGTTCTGTATTATAAGCAAAAAATTATAATAGTCGTTTATTATAAATGTTATGTATTTACACAGCTATTTCAACAGACACATAAAATGTTAATTGAATTCGTGTCAACACTAATTCTATGGAGGATGACGTAAGGCATTTTGAAATATTCACAATTTAACATCAGTGTTTGTTGCTGTTTCTCAAAAATTTCCCTGATCATGTTTTAAGGTCATGCACAGTTTAGGCAATTGCTAGCGTGCAAATTTGATTCATGTATATGCCCCGGAAAATAACGCATCATATATCGAAGAAGGAAGAAATAAAGTGTATATTGAATCTATGTTTTTGTAGAAAAGAAATAAGGACATTTGAAAACATTTTAATCCTAATAATTATGTTTCAAATGAAATACCTTTATATTATTATTTGCAGGTGCTTACGTATCGAGCATAACTCCTACTTCAGGTGGCTATGGCGGACAAGTAAAAGTGACAATATCTGGATCAGGTTTAAATTAAATCTTTTTATGTCATAGTTGCGCATCTGCAACTTGTTTGCGATTATTTTGTCCTGTACACATGGTTATTGTATCGTTATTTCATACACATTACATTTTAAAGAAATTTCTACTGATTTAAATTTGTCCTTGTACACAACAGCAATTTGTGACTGTCTATGCTGTGTAAGATTCCAATTATAAATAATTTAATTTTACATATCATTAGCAATGAACGGTCTTTTTAAAATTTCATTTTTCAACTTTCGTAATAACTTAACTTTTTTAGATACATCCACAGTGCTTTATGAGTGTTAAGAAAAATTGACTTCAATAAGCGTTTTTAATTTAAATTTAAATGTAGGATTTTCAAAGGAACAGTTCAGTCTTTACAGTGGGGAAAATATTGGTAATTTAGTTTACCTTGTGAACGCTCACGGTCGTCAACACTCATGCTCTGTACAAAAAGAAGGCTCCAATCAAAACCGAATAATTTTCTATACCCCAAGGTAAGAATGCAAAGTTTACATTGGAGAAAACTTAAAATAAGTCAATAATAGTATCAAATTGATACTTGTTAAAGGCTTATTTATCATTAAATAAACATTTGCTTTCATTATTTATACATGTATTTTCATAGATATTCAAATTCGAAATATGGACTGGCGCTTTTAGTGTTAAGCATCAGTCACGGAATCATATAACAACCAAGCGTACATATCTTGTTGTTTTTGTTTCATTTGCAGTGGTTTAAAGAGCAAAGATACGTACAATGTAAAGGTTGCTGTTGACGGACAACGTATAGAAGACAAATCAATTTGTGGAGGGAAATCTTCATGTTCATTCAGTGTATATGGGCTTTTTCACTTCCTTAATATTTAATCAGATTAATACAAATATGTATATCTCAGAAATAAAGGAGATTGGCATATAAGGATAATAAGCGTTTGCAATGGTTTATTATATCTAATTGTAACAGCTATACAGACATGACTATAAATAAATCATATTTTCAGGGGGAAAAAACACAAAACTGTACAAATTTATATAGGCTTGAAATACTATTTTTTATATAATTGTCAATGCAACCTTAGTATAGTACCATTAAAGATATTGTGATTTTTTTACATAAACTTAATATGAAAATCATTAACAAGCTAAAAATTAAAAAATGTTTACGGAAATTATCATCTTAATTTACACATTCAAACTTATTTGTCATGATAGTCATGAAGAGGCTTGTCGGATATGATTTTTCTCTTTTGCAGACACAGCCTTTGTTTACTCCAACAATTAACGTTTTAACACCGCAGTCAGGAATACCAGGTATAAATAAACAACAATTAGACTTAGAAACTTGTTTCTTAGTAAGACTTGAAATGATGCACAAATAATGTTGCTAACCTTATACAATACTTAAAATAAAATAACAATAGATAACTTGCTTTTTATTACGTCTGTGAAGTGCAACGGCGATATTAGTAGATATCTCAGCTTGATATTTTATGTTGTCCTTGTTTATAATTCCTTATACGTCTCAATAATTTATGCTCTATCGGCCTTTGTTTTCAGGTTCGCAAGTAAATATATCAGGCATACTTTTCACCGATAGATACACAACTGATGTGGCAACTGCAACAAATGGTAAAATCCAGACATTGCTAAGGTATACTTTCAAACGTAAAAAGATCAATTACATTTATTTGGACGCAAAATACATATCATGAATGCTTTGAATGACTTTAAAGATATGATGCCAGGATCGTTCATTATAGTTGATAGTCAATAATAATTAGGATAAAGCTGGGTACGTTTCCTCAATCAAAACCTCTTAGCTTAATTAAGAAATAGTAATTGTTATTTCTATGTCTTTATTTTTTCGTGATTTCAATTTCAGGGCGTATATTGGTCCACACCTATGTGATTTGCACAATGGAACAGACACGTAAGATGCAATTTAATTTGACTTTTCAAAATTAAAAGAATGAACAAAAGTCGTATTTAAGCTCAACATATTTCTTTCTTCATCTCTTTATTTTTTCTTTATGTATTATGTGACTTATGAATATTTTGTTAAATTTTAAGGTTTGGAATATCTCTTGCTAATCAAGATTCAAACTATGGTCTCATCGAATGCAAAACCACAGGTGCTTCGGTCGGTATGTACTCACAGATTTATCTTTCTATTGTTCATCTCATCTTTCTTTTGTTTCTTTAATTTGTTTCCTTCAAAAAAGTCATCAATCAAAATGTAATAAATACATCCGGCTACATAAAAATAAATTTGAATTCATCTGTAAAATAAACAAAAAAAGATGCTTTGAACATTATTCCACCTTTTCCTTGTTCTTTGTAGGTTTCTTCAATGTCAGTTTTCTTGTTGATCTTCCCTATGGCAGGTAAGATACCATATTTTGCTTTAAATGATAATCGAACTCCAGTTTAAGCCTAAAAATAAGAAAAGATAAAAAAAAAACAAATATAAAGTATTAATGTAATAAGAATCCATTGATTGTTTAAATTACAAGACAAGAATGGAACTGTTATACGATAAAAACATTAATTTTATTACTAAATTAAATAATCAAAATTTAATTTTAGACTAGCTTCAAAAGAAAACATCTTAGAAAGAACGAAATTATTTTTTTTGAAAAATGCATTTGATTATATATTTCAGTTCTGTTGCACGTCCTGATTTATTCCACGTATCATACAACGATGTAATATATCTATATCAGTTTTATACAGGTATCCAAATTATAAAAATCAATAATTTTATCAGTTCGAAATAAAAATATATCTGCTTTACGCAAACAATGGAAAGAAATCTGAATAAGCTTATTATCTTCATTGCCTGTTTCATAGAACAATAAATTAAAGCTGTTTTCTTTAATGCAAACTTATAATCATAGTTCAACTTGATCCATAATTTACTAAAATCAAAGATACAATTTGTTTTAACAATTTCAGTAATAACAAATGTCAGTCATCAAATGGGAAGTGTTTACGGTGGTCTTATACTTACCATTTATGGCAAACATTTTGAAAACAAACCACAAACTGCTTCACCCCGAGCTTACGTAGATGGTAAGTAAAAGTATAAATGAATATTTGTTTCTTTCTTTATAAAGGGTACCCGCGTCTTTTATAAAATTGGTAATTACAGGTTCAAAATAGTTTAGATGCTTATCACCTGAGGTAAAAATTGTTAAACAAGAGATCACTTCTTTTGATAATGGAAGCAATATGTTTACAAAGTAGTAGTTTTACTTTCATACAAAGTACAAGATCACTAAAACAGTAAGTGTCAACAACGCAAATGAAATAACAGATGGCGCCGGCTAAGAAAAATAAACAATGAAGAACATTTTGGAAACTGGTAGGATATCAAATATAATGCCTTTAACAACAATCAAAGAAAAGGCAACAATAAAGACATAATTTTGCTGATGCTTATCAATATTTATCAATCCTAACCTCTGTTGCGATAATTTAATCCCGTTGCCCGAAAATAAGGTATTAGACTACGTCGATACGGCGGCGTATTTAGGTCATATTAACAAGATGATACTATGGATGTTGTAGGTTGAAAAACAAGATCAAATTGATTTTATATATGCAAAGTATAAAATGACTTAACCGGACGTGATAACATATTTGTATTTGTACAGATAAGTGACTGTTTATTTATTTATTTTTTTAAAATAATGGACAAAAAAGCAACCACAAAGACACATGAAAAAACAATTTTCGTCTTAGAGGGATACTCGGGAAAATGAATGACAAAAAATCAAAACTCAAATCACCCATCATAAATTTCTGTATAAATTCTATATATTTTGGGTTTGTAGCGTAAATATATCTATATATGTTAAATACATTTTGAACGCCGACAGAATCACCAAGTATTTGTAAAACAAGTCAAGTGACTTGAACAAACAATATAAGTTTCAATAACAGATATTGTGGATAAGTTACAATAACAGTTAGACCTTTCCAGAATTCACTCTGACAATTTTTATATTGAAGTCTTAACGCTCTTACCTGACCCGCGCTGGTCAAATAAGGAAACCAGTATTTCATTTTTTTATAATTAGAAAAAAGTTTTGTTCATATGACTGCCTAGTGTATTCATTTTGAGGACATTGACAGAATTATGAATGAAAAATTCAAAACAAAGAAATGAAAATTTTGCCTGTGTCTCCTTTTTAATTGAAATTAATTTTGTTCTTTATTATGATAAAAAAACAACATTAGATTTACTTAAAATATTGATTTGTTTACTATTTAGATAGACCTAAATAAAATATCACTGCCGCACATTTGACAACACGTCGAGAACATGAGCAACACATAATTAAGATCCCTTCTTTGAAATGAAATAAACGAGCAATAAACAATATGCAAATGCTTTTTATTCACTAAATTACACACAAGTAAAAATCATTTCCTTCTTGTAACATTCATTTCTTGTAAATCATATATATATTTTTATTTTAATATTTTCAGAAACGCCATGTGAAGTAACTGAAGTTCTAAATAAATCGTTATTAAAATGTATTGTTGCTTCAAAACCAACATTCATGAGCTCAAAGTATGAAGGTAACAGAGGTGTCACGTATGAATATTGGACAAATGTTTCAATGCTCAACGATGATTTAGATTGGATACTCTCCCTAGATAGCTCGGATTCAGGTTACCATATCGAATCTTTGGATCAGGCCTTTTTACTACACGATGATGAAGATCGTATTAGAGGGAATCATGCTAACAGGCTAACATTTTACTTCAAGCCACCACGTGATGGGTATTACAATTTTGAATTGTTTTCAAATGGAAAGACAAAGCTTTTCATAGACGGGGTAAGTATTTGATTTTAAATTATTCGGTAATTAGCATTGTTCTTATTATTTCGGAAATGATTGTACTTAAGATATTATCTTTAACGATAGTACGAAAAAATATCGAATTCTAATGTATTATAAGTACATTATAGCACGAACTATGTGCAATGTGTATCTTAGTTTCTAACAATTAACACTTGAAAGCTTCATGTATATTGTATTGCCTTGCTTCAGATCAAGTATCCTATCTATATTTTATAAAATGAAAATGTAATTTTTATCAAAACACAAAATAAAATTGTCATGGTAAAAGCTGTGACTGTGGTTCTAGGTCATTCTCAGTTACATTTCTAGAAAATATTTTAATAATTTTTTTGGCAATATAATAAAACGTGAAGCAACATTAAAAAATGTCAGTAACAAAACTTGATGTTGATGACTTTACGAGCTATATTTTAACATGCGAAGGCAGTCCAAACAAACCCGTTTAAAACATTCAATTGGTCACAATGCGCAAAGTGATCAATTTCTTTTCCTTGAATTTAAAACATTTGACGTCTACGTACAGATTGAGTAGAAGAGCTCTGCCTATATTTCTTATAGTCGACCTATTTAACAGTCATAATTTAAATAATGACAGTAAATTTGATCTTTCAAAAATTAACACAAAAAGTGTTACAGATAGTTTTATACGATATATCAAAAATATACTTTTCAGACCGAATGAAAAGTTATATCGACCTTGGACTATCGTCCTTGGTCGATATAACTTTTCTCAGTTTAAAAAAACATATGTAACAACATCAACATAAAACTGTCATTGTAAAGTACTGCCTTTACAAGAAAATTAACAGCAAATATAAAATTTACGACACATTATATAGAATTATCAGAAAACTGTCAATATGAATATATAACTGCAAAATCATAAACATATTTGACAACCTGAAACTTGTGTACTTAATCACCTAAAACAGTTAAAATTCTCTTTAAACTGTTATATCTCAAATGAACTTTACAACTAAAAATCTGAATGTATGTAAATATGTAACAACAAAGTTATCTGAGTTATTTGCTTCCATAATTGAAGCGTACATCCTATGAAGATTCATGTCCATAGCTTAAATACTTTAGGAGAAATGGCCCGGGCAAAAAAAAAGTATGAAAATTTACAAAGGGCAATAACTCAAAAAATAAGAAATAAAAAAATAACACTAGTGCTGCTCCAAGTTTCCAAGTTTATTTTTGTGTCGCCTTTTTTTTTGCCTTGAAAAAGGCGACATGTATGGGTTACTTTTGTCAGCATTGTCGGCGTCCCAACCCCTTAAGCTTGTCCGGAGCATAAGTCAGTCATTATAAGTTGGATTGACTTCAAACTTGGTATACATGCTTGTTATAATGACCCAAAGTGCAGTGCACAAGAACCACTACTCTGCATTTCTTATTTTTTGAGTTATTGCCCTTTGTAAATTTTCATACTTTATTTTTGCCCGGGCCATTTCTCCTAAAGTATTAAAGCTATGGACATGAATCTTCATAGGATGATAGATCTCATTAAGAAAAAGTGCAGTGCACAAGAACTGATACTCTGTTTTTCTTATTTTTTGAGTTATTACCCTTTGTTAATTTTCATTATTTTTGTCCAGGCCATTTCTTCTAAAGTATAAAAGCTTTGGTCTTTAAACTTCATAGGATGATAGCTCTCAATAAGAAAAAGTGCAGTGTACAAGAACTGTTACTCTGCACTTCTTATTTTTGAGTTATTACCCTTTATTAATTTTCATACTTTATTTTGTCTAGGCCATTTCTCATAAATTATAAAAGCTATTGACTATAGGATGATAGATCTTATTGATAAGAAGTGCAGTGCACAGAAACTGCTGCTCTGCACTCTTTATATTTTTAGTTATTGCCCTTTCTTAATTTTCATATTTCATTTTTGTCCTGGTCGTTTCTCCTAAACTATAATGTTCAAAAGGCGACACATCCGACTCGCGGAGTTCTAGCATTATATCAGTATGCATACAAATGAATAAACATGGGAAAAATAAAGAATTTAGTCGGGGTAATAAAATAAATAACACATGGGTTTGTGAGTAACAGTATAAATATCATCCCTCGTAAAAATACTGTTACCCTCGGCTACGCCTCGGGTAACAGTATTTTTCTCGGGATGATATTTTTACTGTTACTCACAAACCCATGTGTTATTTATATATTAATGTGAGAGTGTGAGAGAAAAACATAAACAGTACATGTACATCGAAACAATGAAATCTTCATCCTTGTTTGATATACTTAAAATGTGAATAGCTTTGCATTATACCTGTTGCGGCGTAAAATCTGACGTCGATTAAACGAAGCATAAAAGCATTACCATTTTTTACGAACGCAATCTCAGAATTTTTAGTTTTGATAACATAAATTGTTAATATATTTTGCAATTACCTCTCAATTTTCTTCGGTTGTCTATAATTTTAAGGTCAAATACCGGTATCGTAATTTTACCGATACAAACAAGTCTAATTGAAACATAACGTAACAATTATAAACAAGATC